CTTGACGAGTCAAGTTACGTCAAAAAATTGAAATGGGAGAATAGTAAAAAAATCATACTCTAGCAAGTAGAAGTTCTCTTCAAATGCATGTACTTATTAACTGCGCTAAGTCCTAACTGGATTTCTACAATTTTTCAAGGCAGAATGACAAGAATGTATTTCATCCTCTACCAAAATAAAATCACTCCATATTAGATTTTGAGTAAGAGCTCTACTTCTTAGCATAATTAAATGGTGTTTCAAAGAAATATGATGATACCTTCGTCAAAGCGAAAAATGCTGTTTCAATTTCGACTCCATAAAATAGCCGACCAGAAGATAGAGAACCAATTTTATAGTTTTCGCACATTTTGTTTTAGATGTTCAATATTTTCACCGTTAGATCCTACTCTAAGACGAGCTTAAGGGTAGAATAGTGGATGTATTTTGATTTGAAATATATTGAATGGATTATCTAAATTGGTAATGAATAAAATTATAACCACCAAAGGGTGTAATAGGATATTCGAAAATTCTTCTACAATCATAGATTCGTATTTAAACTTTGAAAAGGAAAATTCTTTTGGTAGGACACTATATTTTCTTAGTAGGATATTAGAATTAGTCATACCAATGCGTTCCAGGATGGTTAACAAAATATAATTAAGCTATAAAACCAAATTCCACTTGTATTGTCAGTTACAATACTTCTTTTGCACACTCTCTATATCCATACTCACAATAGAATACTTTGACATTAATACTTCTTAACCATTGTTTCCCTACAAGGATATTACCTTTTGTATTTAAAGGAATTGTTTAGTATAATGGCAGGATAGACAAGGATATTCTATGGGAGAATTCTATGGGATTAGCTAGTCCGTTTTTTATATGGGATAGTTAATTCTATCATTATAGTATTATTTTTTTTTTGGAATTATCTAATAACTAAATATAAGATAAATACAATCCTAAATATTGTCTCTAAATACAATCCTAATTCATGATTTAAGAAAATGGTCTGTATGTTCTAAATTCTAATCATCAAATATTGAAAAATTTTACTATGTGCCTCACATAACTGACATTAAATGTGTGACGGAGATTTTATTTTAGGGATTTTTACCTATCTATACCATATATCAAGTCTTATTACCCTCAATGTTCATAATTTGTTATTTACCCGTGTATTCCACACTTTTACTACAAATTATATACCAATCCAAAAATAGATAGATTTTGCCATAAAAAATGCGCTAAAATGAAGGCACCAGATCTGCGTGTGATTCTGTCAACATTAAATTCGAATTGCTGTGTAATTCTCTCCTTCCTCAACGGAAAGAGATCTCTCTTCTCTCACTCAACTACAATTCTCAAAAAACGCAAGCTACTGAAGCTCTAGCAATCAAACGGAAAGGAGATTTCTGTTCTTCATCTTCATCTTCATCTGTTCTTCCATATATTTTCCACCATTGATAGCCATTAAAAAGCTTGAAAGCTTTGAATTCAAATTTGGGTTTTCAAAAATCATTACTTGTTTGGATTGGGTGTTGTTGTAAATAATTCGGAATATGTTTAGGAGTTTATATCTCAAATTTCAGGGGTTTTGCTGAAGATTAGACTTGGTTTTGACTGAATTTTAGATTGAAACTCGAAGAAGAAGTAGAAGAAGAAGACGTATTTTCATAAATTGTAGATAAATTGTAGTNCAAACCTTAAACATTGAGGGTAATAAGTTTTGATATATGGTATAGATAGGTAAAAATCCCTTTATTTTATCTCACAACAAAATGGGACCAATTCTTACATATTTGAATCCACAAAACCTTAGGTCCACTTTATTGCGAGACAAAATAAAGCTTCTCATTACTAATGTCAATTGTGTAAGTAAAAATTGCACAATGCGCCTTATTTGGTCGCTCCCATTTAACCTATACCCATTTTTTTTTAAAAGTTTTCACCTGTACCCACTTTTTAAACAACTTTAGCCCCCTTTCTCTTCCTCCTTCTCCTCCTTCGTTTTCTTCTTTTTCTTCTTCTTCTTCTTCTTCTTCTTCTTCTTCTTCTTCTTCTTCTTCTTCTTCTTCTTCTTCTGTTATTGGTGCTCATTGAAACTTCAGTTCATGGGATGATTGCCATAAGTATGTTTATCAGATTATTTAAAAATAAATTATAAATAATTACGTAAGTTAGTAGACAATAATTTGTGAATATTTTCACGTACGGGAAGTTTAAGGTCACATTTAGTGATTCTTTTCATGATAATTCTGTTCTTTTCACATTTGTTGTTTCCAACTTTTATAATTTAGATATTGTTGGCAATATGATTATTTTATAATAGTTAGATTAAGACAAAACTAATGAATCTAGGATAAAAAAAACTTCAGCTTATTTAGTAGTGAAGTTTTTACAAATGAACTAAATAACTTCAGCATCTTCTGCTGAAGTTTTTGAAAAAGTTTTATGACAAAACTAATGAATCCAGGACAAAAAAACTTGAGCTTATTTAATGTTGAAGTTTTTACAAATGAACTAAATAACTTCAGCATCTTCTGCTGAAGTTTTTGAAAAAGTTTTATGACAAAACTAATGAATCCAGGACAAAAAAACACTTCAGTTTATTTAGTGCTGAAGTTTTTACAAATAAACTAAATAACTTCAGCATCTTTTGCTGAAATTTTTGAAAAAGCTTAATGACAAAACTAATGAATCCAGGACAAAAAAACTTCAGCTTATTTAATGTTGAAGTTTTTACAAATGAACTAAATAACTTCAGCATCACAAATCTTTAGCTACTAGAATGCTTAAGTTCAGCAATTACAAATAAAAACTTCAGCAAATAGAGAACAAAACTTCAGCACTAGAATGCTTCAGCAATTACAAACAAAATTTTCAGCACACTTGGTTCAGCAATTTTTGCTACTTCAGGCCCGTCTACCAGAATGTTGAAGTTTGCATGATTGCTTTTGCTACTTTAGGCCCTTATGCTGAAGTTACGCGAAAAAGTGGGTACACTTGCAATTGTTTTTGCAAAACGAGTACAAGTGAAAACGTGACCTAAAAAGCGGATATAGATGCAAATTCTCCGTTGTGTATGTGTAGGGTTATGCATCAGTAATATCGGATCAGATTTAGCATATTTCAGATAGTAAATTCGGATTAAATTTATAAAATGTCATCCGAATTAAATTGGATCGGATCGAATTTTATAATTTGGATCGGATAAATATTTCGGATTTTCAAATTAGATTGTATGCCTTATTAAGGCTAATAACAATATAATCGGCTAATGCACTTTTTAAGGTTATTGTTATTCACCATTCTATTAAATTGAAAGGCAATAAATGTCTTTCATAGCAATAGACCAAACAAAAGTTTCATTGCAAATAAAATAAACTAAATTCCAAACAAATGTCTAATAAAGGAAAGACGTCGTTGTCCGTCGATAGGAAGGAGAGACTTAGAATGAGAGACACAAAAGTAAGACTTAAGGAAGCGGACAGAGCAATCTGAAGAGAGATTAGAGAGAGAAAGACTTCGATATAAACTAAAAAAAAAAAAAAAAAGAGTCTAAAGAGAGGCGGATGAAATTGAATGAGAAGACTTAATCCTAAAATGTAAGTCTAATATTTATACATATCCATATAATTCGAATTTCGGGTCGGAATGGATTAAAATTTTACCAATTCGAATTCAATCCGAACTTTTGAAAAATTACCTAACACATATCTGATCCGAATATCAGAAATCCGAATAGATTGAATCGGTGTGTGGATTGTAGATATCCGATCCAAATGCACAACCCTAATTGCGTGAGACACACAAAATAAAAAGTTTCTCAAATATTCAACAAAAATCGCCAAGATGATAAATGAAAGACTTGCTCTGCAGCAAGCGCATCAGCACAGTACTGCAGCATGCAGAAGAGACTAGATGTATAGCCATCGATCAAGTTAATAAAGGTCCCTTTTACTGCACTCCAAAAGATTACACTGTTATTTGAACACGCCCAAAATAATTTTCCCCTCCCAGAACTTTTATAATGTAGTACCCACTCCTGCTTATATTTGATTGATCGATGTGATCACATTATTTGCCCATGCACGTAACTTACTGATGATCATCAAATCTTCTTAAGTTCTTCTTACACCTGATTAACCAAACACTTGGTTTATGTTATTCTCTTCTTCAGATTTCATCTTTCTATATGATGGTTCATTTACAGCCACCGCACGGTTAGACAAACGCACCTGTGATACACCCAAATCTTCCTTTGGTTAAAGGGAGCAATCATGGCCATGCAGTCAAACAATCTTTTCTATTGACGCCACTGTGACGCATTAAGTTAACCCGGGGGCGAGGGGGCAAAAGTAATCCTACGGCTCTTAATAACGCTTCCCTTATTTTCTTGAGATCATTAATTCCATAAATTAACTCCCACCCAGTTTTGTATTCTCAGTATCTGATTACAGTATTTCGTATCAGTCACTTTCCACACAAAGACATTTATCTCCCTGCATGAGACTTACCTAACTTCCTTTCTCATTTTATGTTTAACAGTTTTTCCTTTTTAAACTGTCAAAAAATACAAATTTTTTCATTTAGAAAATTTTAAATAATAAAATTATAAAAATCTAAGACTTATTTTAAGTTATATATTTAATACAATAACAAAAAAAATCCAGTGTAATTTTAGAAATGTGTCTGGAGAGTATAAAAAAATTTATCCAGTTAACCAATATTGCTAGTCACCTTAGGGCTTCTATGGGTAATTTTGTCCTTAAACAAGAGTATATCCCTCCCTAGCAAGTAAGGACAGAGTTAAAACAGTGATATTTAATAAACACGACGGATTGTGGTCTTATCGAATTTGACAACCATGTCTATAAAATCCTAGACCCCTCTAATAAATTACTATTTCCAAATAAAAAACCAATTTCCGTTGAGTTTATAAATTGTTGAACTTTATCACAATTCAAGGAAGATCACTTTGTCTTTGTTCTATCTTTAGCACAAAGACAATGTATACCCATTCTCAAAAGCTTCCAAAAACTGACCCTTTTTTCCTCTCTAAACAACAATCCCTTTACCCAAATGAACCAATTGATCATCTCTGCATTGACTCCACTAATTATCTTGACCCACTTCACTCTTTTTCTGAATTTCCAACTCCAGAACATGATCAGAAATCCCCTGTTCTTGAAGGAATTGCAGCTGTAGTTGGAGAACATGTTCTTTTTGGCAGCTGTAATAATAAAAACAAGAGAAGTGTTGATCAAAATTCTGAGAGTACTACTGCAGTTTCGATTCTGAAGCGCACGTGCCATGCACCTGACAAATACAGAGGCGGCGAGGGGAAAGAAGAAAAGAGAAATGTTCCAGTGGAGAGGAGCTACAGAGGAGTGAGGAAGAGGCCGTGGGGGAGGTGGTCAGCGGAGATACGTGACCGTATAGGGCGGTGCCGTCACTGGCTTGGAACTTTCGACACGCCGGAGGAGGCTGCGCGTGCATATGACGCGGCTGCTAGATGGCTGAGAGGGTCAAAGGCGCGAACCAACTTCCAAATTCCTCCAGTTGTGCCTTTGCCTTTGCATTCATCACCAACATCAACTTCATCCTCTTCGAATACCTCTGCTGAAGAGAAAAAGAACAAGAAAAATATACCTTGTGCTAAACGAAATACACCTAATAATAACAGGAAATGCTCAGTGGTAACTTCAGCTGCCCATCTTTTCAGCTCCAGCAGTACACCTGCTGTGGAGCTTGATCTCAAGCTGGGAATTGGGAAGAAGAGTAGCTAGCTAGTTTTTAACGCCGAAAATAGGTGGTACTAGCTATATCTAGTGTAGTGTTTTATGTGTAAATCAAATGCAACTGTGGTTCAGCCTGTTTCATTTTGATGTAGTGATCATCGCTAGTTGACTAATCAACGGCTTGGTATGAGATGAAGTTTAATTTTCTGATGTTGATTAGAAGTTTAGAAAGGATACAGAAAAGGTTATGCGCCATGCGTGTTAAATGTAGTTAACTAATCTTTTTGAGAATCTCTATATTATATTGTATTCTAGCTTGTTGAATGAGTTGTTTCGTTTTTATCGATTACATTAAGCATTAATTTCTGATATGTCTGTTCATATGTGTCGTCGCTAATGGCCGTTCTTCGGTCTTTCTAATCATCAATGTGTATGGATATCAAGTTTCATTATTTCTCATGGTTGGTTGTGGAATTAAATCTTCCAAGAAAACTTGTTTTGTGTGGCTATGCCTAGGGTTTGAGGTAATTTTTTCTACTATACTATTTATGATTTTTAATTACTCTTCTTTTTCTTTCTTATTTTAATTTAAGCTTCTAATCGTATACATGCTGCTGCCTGCTTGAATGAAGAAGCTGAATATATATTGAAGGAAGCTTAGTGTTTCATGCATGTAATGCGCGCACCATGAGCTAAAAGGGAAGGGCACTGAAGTAGTACTAGTACTTTAGATACCAAAGCAAATAGTAGCAGATGAAGAAGATCTGGAGAATGGACTGACAATTGCTGTGATAATAATGACGTGATAACATGCCTAAAAAGACGCCCACGAAAGACGGGGTTTCTGTTGACTGTAAGTTGAAGCTGAGCAGAGAGGATTGTTACTTGTATGAGCTGCGAAGATCTTTGGTTTTTATTCTATAAATCAATTTGCTTTTTAGTATTTGTGCATATATATACTCAGTCACATGAGGAAGTGGAGAAATGCCCATGACCCGTACCCGGTGGAGGACCCGGTTTGCCCGGTGGGAGAGGGGAAGTTTCTGTCCTTTAGTGTGCAGGACCTGCTGGTTGATCCGATGGTTAGATACTCTCACTTTCAGATAGTGACAACAGACTCATATGGGGCAATATATGGAAGTACAAAATGGTGGGAATGACTAGAGACTACTGAACAGTGAAGTACGCTGTAGAACTGTAAGTCCAGTGTGTCCTTCCACCTTTTCGTTTTGTTTCAAACTTAGTACTACAGTATTTCTTTTTTGCCACATTACATCAAACTAATACATGCAGGTTAGATATTTTACATACATAAATGACATGTAGTTTTACTTTACTTTTAATTGTTAAGATTGACTTGCTTGATTTGATATATTAGCATCCAATGCGAATAAATATGGTTCTGGAATTTCTCTCTTTTTTTTTATTTTATTATTTTTATAATCGTAACCTTCAGGGGCGTATTTGTAGCCTAGATTATGGGTATGTGAAATTATGGTCGCTTCGCCAAATTAGGTACTTAATGTATGTATTTTCTAGAATTTCTCTAATAATATATGGCCGCATGTTCCAAATGATGATGTCCATCTCATTGAAGAAGTATTAGGCATGTGCCTAATAAGAGTTTTCTTTG